CTTTTGCAGAAAAAACTTAAGACTTTAGGTTTGTGTCACACCCATGAATTATAATCAGCATGATAGCAGACACGATACATTGACAATGTAAATAACATGATAGCAGCCACGACACATTGATCAATTAGCATGGTAGCAGCAACGACCCATCGATAATGTTAATCAACATGATTGCAGCCACGACACATTGATAATGTTAATCAGCATGATAGCAGTCACTATACGTTGATAATGCTAATCAACATGATAGCAGCCACGACACATTGATAATGTTAATCAACATTATAGCAGTCACTACACATCGATAATGTTAATCAACATGATAGCAGCCATGACACATTGGTAATGTTAATCAGCATGATAGCAGTCACTACACGTTGATAATGTTAATCAACATGTTAGCAGCCATTATACGTTGATAATGTTAATCAGCATGATAGCAGTCACTACACATCGATAATGTTAATCAACATGATAGCAGCCATGACATGTCGATAATGTTAATCAGCACGATAGCAGCCACGACACATCGATAATGTTAATCAGCATGATAGCAGTCACTACACGTTGATAATGTTATTCAGCATGATAGCAGCCACGACACATCGATAATGTTAATTAGCATGGTAGCAGCCATGACACATCGATAATGTTAATCAACATGATAGCAGCCACGACACATTGATAATGTTAATCAGCATGATAGCAGTCACTACACGTTAATAATGTTAATCAGCATGACAGCAGCCACGACACATCGATAATGTTAATCAACATGATAGCATCCACGACACATTGATAATGTTAATCAGTATGGTAGCAGCCACGACACATAGATAATGTTAATCAGCACGATAGCAGCCATGACACATCGATAATGCTAATCAACACGATAGCAGCCATGACACATCGATAATGCTAATCAACATGATAGCAGCCACGACACATTGATAATGTTAATCAGCATGATAGCAGTCACTATACGTTGATAATGCTAATCAACATGATAGCAGCCACGACACATTGATAATGTTAATCAACATGATAGCAGTCACTACACATTGATAATGTTAATCAACATGATAGCAGCCACGACACATCGATAATGTTAATCAACATGATAGCAGCCACGACACATCGATAATGTTAATCAGCATGATAGCAGCCACGACACATCGATAATGTTAATCAACATGATAGCAGCCACGACACATCGATAATGTTAATCAACATGATAGCAGCCACGACACATCGATAATGTTAATCAACATGATAGCAGCCACGACACATCGATAATGTTAATCAACATGATAGCAGCCACGACACATCGATAATGTTAATCAGCATGATAGCAGCCACGACATTTTGTTACTGTTAATTAATATGATCGATAATGTTAATCAATATGATCGATAATGTTAATCAGCATGATAACAGGCATGATTTCTTTATAATTCTTTTACAGTTTATGTTTCTTATTTTTTGTGGTGATGCTACACATAATTTTGGAATTTCTGGAATATCTAACGTTTAGCTGTTTACGTGTTGTTGTGAGAACTTACAATTGATTCAAAACCATTTCTTATTTTGTTTTTCAATTTTCAGAGTTATCCAATTTACTTTCTAAGCTGCATAAAAACGACAAATCGATAATAATGTCATATACATATATATTTATATACACTTTTATTGAAAGATTGATTTATCTACTTATATATAATTGGTTTAATAAGCAAACTAGGTTTTCTCACTCTGCTGGCCAGATTTTAAAAGGTATTGGTTAGTGGGATATGGTAGAAATATATAAAGAGTTGTCTGATTAACTGTTACATATTATTATTTGGCTCCATTGACAAAATGCAAAAGCTTTAGGAGTTAATTATACAAATGAAGATTCTGTAAAGGCCGTTGAAAGCTCATCGGGGTAACATCAAATGAATGAAATTAGAAACCCTACAGCTGTCACATAACTAAAAAACAAAGTTTGAGAATGTTGCCCAATTCAACAAACAAGTCTCGTATTGCAAATTTTCTACTGACTCACTGGATTGTAAAAGAGTTTCTCATCTCGCCATAAATCATATCTTTCTGGTGGATTTCACATCGTTACTGGAACTATTAAAGTAGTGTCTGCTAGTTACTATATTGTGCTACAATTAGTATAAGATCACTGAGAAACAGATCAACGTAAGTTCCTCCTGATGATAAGCAAAAATCGGAATAAACAAGGTATTAATGCGGATCATTGACATCAGATGTTGAAGCCATGTCTCCAAGATATTACTTGAATCATGGAATATTAAGAATTCTATTTCAAAGCTGGTACTATTCAACGAAAAATATTTATTCCAACGCACAATTTGACTGAAGAATCA